TTATAATAAGATAAAAATTTGCCATACAAGATTCTCTCTTATACAAAATTATTCTTTTTCTTCATAACCTTCCTTTCCCAAAATACATCTTTATGTTAATAACTTCCTTCATAGCTCTCTCTCTCTTACTTACCCATTGTTTTTTACCTTCTTTTATGGATAACTTTTATAAATCCATAATTTGAATTAACCTTTACGTGACCTTTGATTTAGATAAAATTATTCATTTTTTTCAGTTTCAAATGAGTATTTGATGTTTATTTTAGTTCAAACTGGCTGAACTGCATAAGAAGAATGAAATTTCTAGGTAGCTTTGAAATAATGAGTTTTATTTCAACATCAATAGTTTATTAAACAGCAGATTCAAAGCAGGCAGAAAAAAGAAATAGAGAGCTTTAGAAGGCTCTATTTAACTCTACAGCTGTAAGTTAACCATTTGAGCTTTGAATTTTTCTTACTGTAATTTGCCCATTTATTTTAAAATGTACATGCAAACAGGCCTTAATTTAATGTAGCCAGCTGGGGTCTTAGAAAACCTGGCATGTCTTTCTGGAAACCTGGCATGGGATATCTGGAGAGGGGACTATTTTCCCTACCTCCCTCTTTTTTAGAGGACTTATTCACATTTTTTTCTTTTTTCTGGGGGAGAGAAAAGGCATTGGAGGGGGCTCTTCAGGATACAATGCAGAAAGAAATTTTTGGATCTCAAACAGTTTTTTTTTTTTTCTTTTTTAGGAAGTGAAAACGAACTCAGAATATATTAGGGACCACCAACCTAAAATGGGAGGTATGAGTCTTAGCAGAAACTTATCAGGACCACCTGAAGAGAAGGGCAGTCAGTGGGACTGCAATGGACCCCTGCTGGAGTCCAGGTTTGGGCAACTTCTCTGGTCTTTCTGAAGTTTTTTGGGTTATTTCACATCAAGGCCAGGCCTCATTACAATAAAATATTAACCTTTTTTGTTTGTTTGTTTTAAACCATCCAGTTTGAAATCCTTCTAGTACTTTAATATATGATCTACTGGAGAGTCTGCAAATATAAACTATTATCCATGTTCTTGTTTTTGTACCTCAAGGAAAAATTCTTAATTTTGCCTTTGAACTCTTGAGTAAATAGATTTGGAATGTGAACTAAACCTGTTCACATTCCTCAAAGGAAAATTCTGAAAAAGGTAAGGACCATAATCAGTTACGCCAGTTGACCCTGGAGCCCTGATGAATCTGGGCATCTGAGCATCTTCATGGTCCCCTGTGACTGCCTGCATAGGGCTTCATGTGAGGGAGTGCCTTGTGACTTGAAGCCTAGCACTAAAAACTCTTGGTCATACCTTTCTGCTTTTTGCCCATGAATAATACTTTGCATGAAAGAAGTTTAATTGGAGGCTTTCCAACAATGCTGTTCAAAACTGATTTATATACAAGCTTCAGACTAGTTGGATGGATGGGTCATCCCTGTAGTCAAGGCATTTTAAAAATGTAGGAGAATTAAATGTAGTTAAATGATCTGTTCCCACCCATTTCCAATTGCGAGTGGAGGGATTTGCTGAGGAACCCCTATAGATCACTGCATTACAGTTTGAGAGGTGCTGAAAGTTGCAAAAGAAAGGTTGGCATGGGACTTTTGGAAGTCATGAGGTATGGGCAATCAGATGGGAGTTGCCAATTCCCATGCCTTACTGCACCACATAAACAGCACCCATAGTCTAAAGCTTCATCTGTCTGGCAGAAGTCAGCCAGGTGAACTAAGGTGACTAGACTTCCTTTTCCAACAATACTTAAAAAAGAAAAGAAAAGAAAAGAAAAATCTTTCAGCTAACTTCCCATAGTAACAGCTGTGTTCTCTACCTAGTTGAAATAGTGAGTTTTATTTCAACATCAGTAGTTTAGTAAACAGCAGATTCAAAGCAGGCAGAAAAAAGAAATAGCTTTAGAAGGCTCTATTTAACTCTACAGTTATAAGTTAATCATTTGAGCTTTGAATTTTCCTTGCTGTCCAGTTTCACAAGGACATGCTTGTCTTTGACAAGAAGCTTTATATACTTTTACAACAATGATGAGGCAAACCATGAGCCAACAGCAGAGCAGTGCAGGTATCTAGTCATGAGTTTTGATGATCACCTCTCAAGTTTTTTGTTTTTTTTTTTTTTTTGAGTTGGAGTCTCACTCTGTCGCCCAGACTGGAGTGCAGTGGCCGCTCCCGGCCACCGCAGCCCCGGCCTACTGGGCTCCAGCGATCCTTCCGCCTCAGTCTTCCGAGTAGCCGGAATTACAGGCATGCGCCACCACACCCAGCTGATTTTTTGATTTATTGTAGAGATGAGGTCTCGCTGCCAGGCGGGTCTCGAACCCGCGGGCTCAGGCAATTCACTCACCTCAGCCTCCCAAAGGCGCGGGATTACAGGCTGAGCCACCGAGCCCGGCTACCTCTCAAATTTTTAAGGCCACAAGGATCTTCTAAATAATGGACATTACTGTCTAACAAGATTTGGTCTTTTCTTAGAACATTATGCCTATGTTTTGGGTATTTCCCTTTTGTTTCTTTGATTTAGTGTACTGGTGGTCCCACACTCCAACCCACAAGGTGGTCAGGGCTGATATGCCTGGTCAGTCAGGTGTAGGTTGTATATGGATAAAAGAAAGCTGTCTGAATGCTTACTCTATTTTAACTTAGACTTGACTGAAAGAAAACTCATCTATCTGCGTCTAAACTCCTCTGGCTAACCTGCCTCACAACTGGTCTAAGGGTCTAAGCATTTCCTTCTCTGACCTCCTCTTGTCTTTGACCTTTCAGTGAGTAGGTAGAGTGATGGTATAACTTATCCTCCATATCCAGATCCTTTGGATAGTAAAACGCGTCTTTGATGATTATGCTAGGACTTCCCAGACTCCCCAGGTAAACCCTAACACCCCAAGCAAACCTGCCCCAGATGAACTTGCCCCTGGTAAACTTGCAGGAGACCTACTATTTAGCAGGAAACCTTTCGACTGCGGCATTGCAAGCATCTTCAACTTGCTCTACTGAAAGTGGTTCAGTAGGGCCTCTCTGAGTGCTGAGCTAAGGTTGGAGAGAAGTTAGTCTTCAGGAAGCTCACATCCAGGAGGGCAGAGCCTGCAAGTATAAGATTGTGAGAGGAACCAGGAAGTGAGGCCCACCCAGGGACCTACTAGGAAGGAGGCAGCAAGGACAATGACTGAGCAAGGGAACTGGTTTCTCTGTTAACGCAGCACAAATCTGTGCCTGATCCCAAACTTTACTTCTTCCCTCAATGGAGAAGCGAGAGCTCCATAAGAAGGGGTGTCAGCTGGCCGCCCATTCCTTATGGAGTGGAACCACAGGGTGCTATTGATGTGCCATTAATGGTTGCGTTTCCTGGAAGTTGGACTACTTCGGAAGCCTGAGTGTCTATACATCTCTTTAATGGATGCTGTAGAAGGCCTGAAACTATGACCAGAGGCCTATGCCCCAGCATCTTCCCATAAGATTATGGGAACCACTACCCTTACTCCTCTCTCTTCCCAAATACAAATATAGTGAGATATGGCTTGTCAGAACCTCTGTCTGATCATAAATGGTCATCTCTGCACTGTGCTTGACTCGGCCTCTGGTGATACAGGGTGAGGGATGGTACCTCTTCTTAAACGTATTCCCTTCCTTTCTTGCTCGATGACTCGTGCCTGTAATCCCAGATACAGGAGGCTGAAGCGGGAAGTTCAGTTGAACCCAGGAGTTTGAGGCCAGCCTGGACTAAGCAGTCAGACTCTATTTCTAAAAAATAAAAATAAAGTGTTGTTGAAGTAAAGAAAAAAACCCCCAACTTATTCCCTCCTTTGGCATTCCTAAGCTGGACTGCCATTTGGCATTTCCAAAGAAGGATTTTATGAATGCCAGGGGAACACAAAAATCAAATGAAGAGAGACAAGCAGGAAAATTTGGTTTTGCTCCACATTAAATTATTGTAATTTTCTCCAGCCTTCAAAATTTACTGAAAATGGTCAGTCTATTATGGTAAAAAAAAGTTATAAATCCCGTTCTCCAAAAAGGGACCTTGTGGGTCTTGGCTTGGTGGAAAGTGACTGGTGAGAGTCAAGGGTGAGAAGCGTGTCATGGGAACAACAGGCCTCAGGAAAGCGACTCCACTTTGCCCACTTGTACAAGCCATCCTCATGAGCCTGGGGTCATTCTTCAGGCCTGGTTCTTCACCTTCCTCAGCTCGGCAGTGGATCCTGCCCATCTTGCAAGGCTGTCCAGGGAGTTGGGAGCCTGGCAGGTGCAGGGTGCTCAGGAATTTATAGCTTCATCAGTTGAATTCAAAATGTGTCTCACCCTCCTCCGCAGCATTCTGGCCCAAGCCTGCCCTTCTCCACAGGGAGAGGTGGTCTCGGGGCAATCTGACTACGGAGCCCTATTAAAACAACTGTGGTTATGTCCATGCAACTTTTTCCTTCATGGGACATTGCAGTGAAGGCAGGGCCGTGGGCTGATTCACATAAGCCTCCAGTACCTCTTCCTCACATGATGGTCCTTTGTCCCAGTCACTCCCTCTGGAGTTTGTCCTTTTACCCTACTTTTGAACTGATCCCTCCTGCTGCCCCAGCTGTTCTTAAAACCTGGCTAAGAATACTTAAGATTCTAGAAGGGTGAGGCAGAGAGGTGTGTTCTGTTGGATCAATGAAGTCCTGACTTGCTGGGCGGGGAAACCAAGAAGTAGGGACAGATTCTTTCTAGAAGTGCAAGGGGTCTGTCCATGAAGGTTTTTGGCACATTTTGGCCACCTCCTCACCTGCTCTCTGAAATTAGCAACCCTCTAAACATACACACACATGCACATATATACTTTTTACCACATCATTACACATGCACATATATACTTTTTACCACATCATTAAACTTGTAGAGAACTCCACTTCCTAGCTCTGACTTTCCACACGTTAGCGGGGTCCTGCATGACCTTGGTTCCCGTTGGGTGGATTGACTCCATGCTGTAATATATTTTTCCTCAGGGTCCTGCCTAAATTGACAGAATGGCGGCCAAAGGAACTGAAGCAGAGAAACCTGAAAATGACAGGTAAGGCTCTGGTGGGGCCTTGGTTTCGGTTTATTGACTATACTTTGTGCTATGCCTGGTGGGGTTGGTTTCAGTTTATTGACTATACTTTGTGCTATGCATTTTTCGAAGAACGTGATTCTTGTGACAGACTGAGGCCAGAGGGATGAACAACTCAGCAGACTTATAATTCCAATGGGTAAAAACATCTTGAGTCAGGTGCTGGGACTTGGGCTCTTAACCATTAGGACAGGTTGTTTGAGAAGACCAGGCAGGTCAATGCTCACATCTGTGCCTAGCAGGTTTTCTTCTGTCTGTGGCCACTTCTTAAGCAAAACCCCCTGCTTATCTCTCAGCTCCATCTTGGTTCTGAATCTTAAATGTTTTCCTTATTTCTCTGCAGTTTTTCACATGTATGCAACTTTTTCCTTTGTGGGACATGGCAGTGTAGACAAGACCACAGGCGAATTCACATTATCCATAGTTCTCTCTCCCTCCCATGGTGGTCCTTTGTCCAAGTCAGGGACAAATAGAAGGGCTAATGGTCATGCTTCAAAATGAAAAACAGGATGTGATGAAGGCAACTTTGTCACATATTTCAAAATAGAAAAACTTTCAGTTTGTTTTTGATTCCGGGAAGAAAAGGAGAAGGAAATAGAGTGTAACCATGAAGATCAGCCATGATCAGAGAATATGTAAATTTGGCAAATACTGTAATGACCTGGGACATACTCCAGCTTTTCTTCCACGAGATTTTAAAATGACAAGTCAGGCTCACATTGCTTGGAAAAGTGTTTCTCTAGTCTACATACAATTTCCAGTTCCTTTATCTAGCTTTATTCTATCACTTTATTCACTTAACAAAGATCTATTATATAAAAGAAATGTGTGAGATGAAATTAATAAAAATTGCAATCTGATCCCAGGAGTTTATCAGGAGAGAAGAGAAAAAATGACCTAGCTTTATATAAACTGGCATAGATGGCTTAGGACAGGTGCTTATGGGAAGAGAATGAGGGGGGAGACACTGGGAAGGGGAATAGGAGAGGTCCCAGAAAACATCCGCTAAATCTACCAACAGCCAAGTACTCTGTTTTGGGCATTTGGAAGACAAATATTAGTGTGTGCATATATTAGGCATTTCTCATGACCCCTCCTATGTTTAGGCATTACTAGAAAAGTAAAAAGTAAAAATTGCTCATCTTCATTCTAATCACTACATGGACTAAATCCACTGATACTTCCTTTTTTCTCTCCACCTATTTGTTCACTGCCTCCGCTGGGGTTACTTGGGCCTCTATCCCACTTCCTGGGCTTCTCCCTGGCCCCTGTGGCCTCTGACCTTGACACCACCCAGGATTGTGGTGACCCTCTGGGAGCTATCTCTCTGGGCTCTTTATCCTTTGTTTCTCTGTGATCTCCCTAAGATCTCTCTGAAGTCTCTCATGCGATAGTCTCATATCCACATCATAACTCTATATAAACAACTCCCCCCCTCCTTCTTTTCCCATAGGTCCTGATGTCCATTTTAGTGTTTCTGGGTGCCTGCAGACATTACCTGCAGTGGTCACTTCTTTATCGGGCTAACAGTATCCCTTGTGCTTTTAGTCACTGACGATCGAAAATGCCCCATCTCCAATTTCTCAAGCACGCCTCCCTTCTCCTCCTCCCATGGGTTGAGGTTGACACCCAGTGGGAGGCTAGTGGGGGAAAGGGAGTGGTGAAAATATATACTGGTGAAGGCAGATCTGGAACACTAAGTGCTGTGTGACTCACTGAGGACTTCCTGTTTTTACCCTCTGTTCAGCAATTTTTAAATCCTTTTCTGTTTTATTGTCAACTATTTGCATATCATGTTCCTCCTACTAAGGGTCCATCATATGTAGCGATTAAGAATCTCTTAAGGATGTGACCTTGAACCTTTAAATGGGTGCTATTAATACTTGAAAGCCTTCCAGGAGTAGAACCGGATCTGACTAATATTTGTCTTCCAAATGTCCAGCACAGAGCAGTTGACTGGTTGTAGATTCAATAGATGTTTCCTGGGACCTCTCCTCTCTTCCCCTTCCCCAGTGACTCCCCATCTCATTCTCTTCCCTTGAGTACTTGTTCTAAGTGATCTGGGCTAGTTAGATAGTGTTTTTTCTTCCCTACTGATAAACTCCTGGGATCAGAAGCCAATTTTCATTTAATTCATCTCGCACATTTCTTTTATATAGTAAGTGTTCAGTGAATCTTTGTTAAATGAATAAGGCAAGATAAAGTTGCTGGAAATTGTATGGAGACTAGAGAAAAATCTTTCCAAGTAATATGACTCTGACTTGTTATTTTAAAATTCTGTAAGAAAACAAAGGGTGGAACAAGATAAAATCACTTGAAATTGTATATAGACTAGAGAAATATTTTTCCAAGTAATATGACTCTGACTTGTTTTAAAATCCCGTCCAAAAAAAAAAAAAAAGGTGGGGTATTATGGTGTATGCCAAATTTACATATTTTTCAAATCATTGCTGGCCTTCACAGTTATACGCTATTTCCTTCTTCTCTTCTTCCTGGAATTGAAGAAAAATGAAAAGTTTTCTGTTTTGAAATATGTACGAAGTTGTCTTCATCACATCCTGTTTTGGTCATGTTTGCAGCATGACCATTAGCCCTTGTTTTGTACTCTGTGTACTTACAATATCCTGAAGGGAGATAGAAACCTTAATTACATTAAAAATAATTGTCCTTAGAGGAACTTAAAGCACTGTAGAGTGAGTTATGACTGTCAGAATTTCAGATTGACTTAGAGATCAAAAAGGCTTTCTGGGAGAATCTGGGGATGGCTCTAGCCACACATGTTTCCGGGATTTAGTCCCTTGAAAAACGGCCTTCTCCCAACCCCAAAGTAAAATTAACCCTGCTTCTGAAGAGCCATGTAGCTTGCCTGGAAGAGGTGGGTTTAGAGGCAGACAGGTGTGACTCTGTGCCTTTGCCAGACTGCTTGCCCTTTCTGAGCAAGATTCAGAGCATCTTTGCTGGGTGTAGTCAGCACAGTTGCTGTATGCAGTAGACACATCACGAGTGATCACTGATGATTTTAATTATCAGCCTGTGGATCTCTGAACCAGGAACTAGTCAACTAGCCCCCATTCCTTTATAGAAAGATGTCTTTTCTATATCTGCCTTTGGAAAATGTTCAGGGATGAACTAATCTAGACAACACACTAGGGGAATGGACAGGAAAGGAAATTTGAGAAACATGAAAAGAAGAAGCAGACAGGTGTCATCAGAGTGAGTCGTGGGAGACCTCGGTATCTGCAGCCTTGGTGTCTGTGGGTGTTTAAATGTCAGATAGAACTAGGGAATGACACTGGGCTTGGTAGCTCATGCTTGTAATCTCAGCACTTTGGGAGGCTGAGATGTGGGGGTTGCTAGAGCCCAGGAATTCAAGACCAGTCTGGGAAACATAGTGAGACATCGTCTCTACAAAAAAAATCGAAAAGTTATCCGGGCATGGTGGCACATGCCTGTAGTACCAGTTACTCAGGAGGCTGAGGTGGAAAGATCATGTGAGCCTAGGAGGTAAAGGGCTGTGGTGAGGTGTGATTGTGCCACTGCCCTCAAGTCTAGGCAACAGAATGAGACCCAAACTCAAAAACAGAAAAAGAAAAGAAAAAGAATGAATGGAATAATAGATAAAACAGAGACAAGCCATCTCTACTTTGTTTTGTGTCTATTGTGTGTTCTGGAGGATTCTGAGATAAAAGAGATGTGGTCATGGCCTCCAGGAGTTTTTGTTCCTAGGGATAATTATATGAATAGCTATTGCATTAATTGTGTAAATCATTGTTATGATAAAATATAGCTATGGTATAAGAAGCATCATCTGGAGAGAGGAAGAATAAAGACGATATTGAGATGGAAGTGTTCTTTTAGATAATGGTATATCATACATAGCTGAGCCCTGGCTCTCTTGCATCTGCTTCTTTTCCTTTCTCATGAGTTGAGTGGGAGACTTTCTGGGCAGAAACTCACACTCAGACGGAAGAAAAAAAAGTCACGACTGTTCTAAGTTCAGGGATCCACATCTGCCTTGGTTTCCTACAGGGAAGTACATCTATCTGGGAATCAGAAAGCATACATAATTGAAGGAGAATATGTTTGATGTTGGCTGTAAGGGACTTTGTTGGGCTGGAGATGGAATCGTCTAGAGCTTGGGTGCCTGCTTTGTCAATAAAGTTTTATTGAAACATGCTCATTTGCATGCTGTCTGTGGTTGCTTTCACATGACTACAGCAGACTTGAGAAGCAGCAGACACCATATGGTCTGCAAAGTCAAACATATTTACTTACCTTTTATGAGGAAAAGCTTGTGGAGCCCTGTTCCAGACCAGCAGCATGTTGTTCTATAGAAATGTAACATGAACTGCACATACATTTTCTAATACCCACTTTGAAAAAAGCAAAAGGAACAGATGTCTTATCCTGACTCCTTTATGGGACATTTTACTGGAGAAGCAATAGCTATTGCAACAAGACAAGAAAAAGAAATGGAAGGTTTGCAGATTGGAAAGGTTATCTCTCGGTGGTAGAATTAGTGATGTTATTCTTTTCAGGCTTATTTATTTATTTTAAACTCTATGAGATTTTATTCACTCTTTTAAAAGTTGATATCTTATAGGTGTACATATTTTGGGGCACTTGTGATAATTTGATACATACATATAATCACTTTAGGGTCGTTGCAATATCCATCACCTTAAGTATGTATCTTTTCTTTAGATTAGGAACATTTGAAATTATTCTCTGCTATCCGTTTTGTAGTATATCACCAATTTATGTTAACTATGGTCATCCTACTGATCTATGGGACACCAGGTCTTATTTCTTCTAAGTGTATATTTGTACCCATCAGATAACTTCTCTTCATTCTCACCCTCCTCCCTACCTTTCCCAGCCTCTGGTAACCATTCATCTACTTCCTATCTGCCTGCGATCCACGTTTTTTTACTCCCACATATGAGTGAGAACATGCAATATTTGTCTTTCTGTGCTTGGCTTATTTCATGTAATATAATGATAGAGATTTTTTTTTCTTTCTTTGTTCATATTTCCTGTGGTGAACATTATTCGTTTTAAAATAAAGCCAAATTTATGTATTAAATGAACTTGACTTGGGTAGCAACAGACTACACTCTGCAAGGGTAGATTTAACATTTTGATCTCTGTACTTTTGTGTGCTCTTCTGAATTCTTCCCAATGACCCTCCAAACAGGAGCCCTGGGAACTAAGAGGGGTTAGGAGGAAAGAGAAGGGGGAGAGCAGAAGGGAGGGAAGTGGGTACCCCTTGGAAGTTATCTTATTTCCCAGGGTATGTCTGTGCCTCTCCCACCACGTGCCTACAGCTTGCTGACACAGAGTGCTTCTGTGATTCTGGCCATTGGACACTGAAGTTCCATAAACCTTCCACTCTTTGATTTTTTAACAGTGACCGTCTCGTCCAACTTTCAAATCCAAATGTAGCAACAATGAAAGAAGATATTCTCTATCATTTCAATCTCAGCACTAGCACACATGATTTCCCAGCTATGTTTGGAGATGTGAAGGTAAAAAGCCAGGCTTTTAATTCTCAGAATTTCTCTTAAGATCAACGTCATCATCTATGACTTGGGTAGACCAGACTTCCTCCAGATGACTGAAAGGTTCATAAAGTGATATGTTTATCAAATTTTTGCAAATTGTTAATTTTCAAGTTGGTGAACTAGCAAGTAAAAAACTATCCTAAGTACTCCCACATTGGTATCTAATTCATCTCTTACAAACTTAGTACAGTTATGCATTGCTTAACAATGGAGATACATTCTGAGAAACGCACCATTAGGTAATTTCATCATTGTGTGAGAATCGTTGAGTGTAATTCCCAAACCTTGATGGTCTAGCCTACTACACACCTGGGCTATATAGTACAGCCTATTGCTTCTAGCTACAAACCTAAATAACATGTTACTGTACTGAATACTATTGTAACACTTATCCTTCCAAGTAACTGGGACTACAAGCATGTGCCACCACACCTGACTAATTTTTTTATTTTTTGTAGAGACAAGGTTTTACTATTTTGCCCAGGCTCATCTTGAATTCCTGTGCTCAAGCAATTGTCTTGCCTCAGCCTCCCTAAGTGTTGAGATTACAGGTGTGGGCAGCTGCACTCAGCTAGGCATTATAACCTTAAGACCATCGTTGTACATATAGTCATTGTTGACCAAACATTCTTATTTGGCATGTGAATATATACATTTGAAACAATATATAAAATAAACTTTGTAATATTTCATCGAGAGAAGGGGGAGATATAAAAATTTCCAAGGGGAGGAAGACATAAATAAAGGAGTTGCATCATGTTTGTTTGTAACTTAAGATGCATACTTGTGTTCTGTTGGGTTAATTGTCTCCCATGGCTTATTTTGCTGAATGCAGTCTCCAGTCCAATTTCCCTAAAAAGTCTTGAATTCCTCAGTTCTGATGTATCTTAACTTTCAGATGTCTCATCCCCATGGATTAGGATGAACTAATACATGACATTAAAAATCAAAATACACCAGGATCTAGAATGCATTGTTGCTACATGGGATTGTAATGTAACAGTAGTGTTGTGTCCCATCATCTGTTGTGGTTTAGGTAGTGTTGGTTTCCAGTTATGGACAACTTTCTTTTTTTTTTTTTTTGAGTTGGAGTCTCACTCTGTCACGCAGACTGGAGTGCAGTGGCCGCTCCCGGCCACCGCAGCCCTGACCTGCTGGGCTCCGGCGATCCTTCCGCCTCAGCCTTCCAAGTAGCTGGAACTATAGGCGCGCCCTACCACACCCAGCTAGTTTTTGATTTATTGTAGAGATGAGGTCTCACCAAGTTGCCCAGGTGGGTCTCGAACCTGCGGGCTCAGGCAATCCACTCACCTCGGCCTCCCAAAGGCGTGAGATTACAGGCTGAGCCACCGAGCCTGGCCTATGGACAACTTACTATGTGCTCTTTTTTTTTTTGAGTTGGAGTCTCACTCTGTTGTCCAGACTGGAGTGCAGTGGCCACTCCCGGCCACCGCAGCCTCGACCTGCTGGGCTCCGGCGATCCTTCTGCCTCAGCCTTCCAAGTAGCCGAAATTACAGACATGCGCTACCACGCCTGGCTGATTTTTTGATTTATTGTAGAGATGGGGTCTCGCTGCCCAAGCGGGTCTCGAGCCTGCAGGCTCAGACAATTCACTCACCTCAGCCTCCCAAAGGCATGGGATTACAGGCTGAGCCACCGAGCCCTTGATTCATTGAATTTCCATTCATTCCATTAAGTTAATCTATAGTGATTTTTATTCCAGGCTATGGAACTTTTTTTCATGTTTAAAGATAAATTTTTTTAAACCTTTAAACTCTTTTGAAAAAAAACAAAAAGTTTTCTTACATGACGCTCCACAAATTAATTTTTTGCTTCTCCAAGAGATACCCACCCACAGTAGCTATAACTTCTCCAAACTCCAAAGCCTCTTGCTCTTTCCAAGCACTGGCCATTTGGCACATAAATGACTAGGTGAGAGGTAGTGATCAGTAGCTCATTTAACAGATGGGTTGTGGGGCCCTGGTCACAGTGAAGAGGTAGAGGGACAGTGAAGTGTCATGCCATCTTTCCAGTACCCTGAGTTGCCTTCCGCATGATGGAGGGAGGCCAAGCATGCAACCTGGAATTCCCTTCTCAGTGAGTGCATGCATCTGGATTCCTGCATTTGTGGAGCCGAATGCTGTACACTGGGGGATCTGCCCATACTGGGCATGCAGCAGGAGGGCTCATTGACATTAAAGGAGATTGCTGGGCCCCTTAGTTACAGTGGGTCCTGGTAAGGCCAGTGAACTTGCACTTTTTTTTTTGAGTTGGAGTCTTACTTGGTCATCCAGGTTGGAGTACATTGGCACACTCACAGCCACCCCGCTGGGCTCTGGTGATCCTTCCTCCCCAGCCTTCCAAGTAGTTGGAACTTGCGCACTACCACAACCAGCTAATTTTTTTGATTTATGGTAGAGATGAGGTCTCGCCAAGTTGCCCGGGCAGGTCTCAAACCCACGGGCTCAGGCAATCCACTCACCTCGGCCTCCCAAAGTGCTGGGCTGACAGGCTGAGCCACGGAGCCTGGCAGAACTTGCACTCCTAACAGCTCCTAGGTGACGCCAGTGTTGCTGGCCTAGGAACCCCACTTCGAGGGCCTCTGCTATAAATAGTGCACTGATGGGGTCTCTGCTCTCTGGTTGCAGTTTGTGTGTGTTGGTGGAAGCCCCTCCCGGATGAATGCCTTCATCAGGTACATTGGCGCAGAGCTGGGCCTTAAGTGCCCAGGTGAAGACTATCCCAACATCTGTGTGGGGACTGACCGCTACTCCATGTATAAAGCAGGACCGGTGCTGTCTGTCAGTGTGAGTATCTGCCCCCCACTTGGGCTCTTTCTCTGGGCTCTGCAAGCCCCCTGTGCTCCACCTCTCTGAACACACAGAAAACGGGCCCCCTAATACGGTTACTATAAATGACTGGGAGCGAGGTGAGTAGGTAGCAGCTGGGATGCAGAGATGAATGAGGCTCAGTGTCCAGGGGAGGCTAAGTATGCAAATGCAAATAAGTATACACAGCTGTCTACACTGAGTGAGGGTGGCAGGTGCAGGGAGCGAGAGCGCCTAGGCTGTACAGGAGACATGGGAGAGGGTGCACTGCCTGGATCAGGGTAGGGAGGAGAGCCACAGCTAAGCACCAGGACTCTGATCCCCTTGTCCACTTGCAATGAATGATGTCATAACACATTTTAATTTACAATGAACGTGAACGTAGAAATCTCCAGTATTATGCCAAAGAAGTCTTCTCATTTTTCAGTTGTGATTTCCCTCATCAGCGGCGACATACATGAAGAGGGACAGGGTTAGGAAAGGATACCCATCCTTTTGAGATGTGCATCCTTGCCTCTTTGTCAGCCGAGACCTCTAGTGATACTGACCACCCCGAATACATCAGGGAGTCAGGATGTTACTCGGTGACTGATATTTGGGGAAGCATTTCCTGTGTATAAGACACCCGGACAAATTCTAAAAGGGCCCTCTACCGTAGGGCTCTGCCACAGGAAAAGCATCTTGAAAGTGCCAAGGGCAGCCAGGTTCGGTGGCTCAGCCTGTAATCCTGCGCCTTTGGAAGGCTGAGGTGAGTGGATAGCCTGAGCCCATGGGTTCGAGACCTGCCTGGGCAACTTGACGAGACCTCATCTCTACAATAAATAAAAAATTAGCCGGG